CCAGCCCGCGCCCGCCGCCGCGCGCTGATTGGCTGGCCGGGGCCGGCGGCGGCGCTGAGTGGCCCGGCAGATTCGCTGGGTCAGGGCTGCAGAGGCGCCTGGCGCACCGGCGGGAGCGGAGCCGCGGCGCGCGCTCGCCCCGGACGCCGGCCGGCCGCCCGCCAGCCCGAGCGAGCGGCCCGGGGCGTCGAGGGGGCCCGCGCCGCGCCGGGCGCCGCCGCCCTGGCAGCCATGTGCTCCCAGCTCTGGTTCCTGACGGACCGGCGCATCCGCGAGGACTACCCGCAGGTGCAGATCCTGCGCGCCCTCCGGCAGCGCTGCTCCGAGCAGGACGTGCGCTTCCGGGCGGTGCTCATGGACCAGATCGCCGTCACCGTCGTCGGCGGCCACCTCGGTGAGCGAGGCGGGCCCCGGGAGGGCGGGGAGGAGCGCCGGGGTCCCCGGAAGCCGGCCGGTGGGCGCGCGCAGCCGGGCCTCCTCCAGCCAAGTCTCCTTCGGGGCTCCCTCCCCAAGACCAGCCCCCCTCCCCCGCGAGCTCTCCTTGGGTTGGAGAAAGCCCCTAACCTTGAGAGCTTCCTTTGACCACCGCCTTCTGCCCTGAGGCCAAGATTTGAGAACGGGATTCCGTGTACTTAGGGGACTTTGTTTTGGGAGGAACTCGAATTCGCCTGAAGCCGCCTGGAGGTCCGAGGAAAATCAAGCTGCAAACCCCAAATTTGCAAATTCTGCTCGCATCCGTACCCTGTCAGTATAGCTTTATAGAAACCCTCACTACATTTACGAAATTGCCATTAAGACGAATGTTTTTAAAAGTTTTCCAGGAGTGTGTAAGCATCAATAGTGCACTACAGAATATCATTCCCAAACTAGGAACCTATATAGGGGGAGAAATTTATGTTTGGAGTCACCTCTTGAGTGTGTAAGTGGGAGAGTAGACCGTTGATGGGTTTTCTTTAAACTCATCCTCCTTCCTAAAAGTGTTGAATTCTGATTCCAGAAAAGCCAAGATTTCGGGTACAGACCATTCTGGTCTCCTATTTCTCCACTGCTGTGTCCAAGAGACATATTTGGATAAGACATGGTTATCATCTGTGACCCTGACCTCAAAAGGTTAAGTATGTGTTTAGATAGTCTTAATTATGTTTAATGCAAGCAGTCTCCGATGGGAATCCTTGGTTTAGGAACCCCCTGTAGCCTGCAGTTTGAGTGGCTCCAGCCTCCACTCTGGAAGTAAGCCAGCTACTTCACGGGGATCAGATGTGGGACTGGGGGTGGGGGGAATTTGGGCCCAGTTCAGGGTGCTTTTTGGGACATCATTCTTATTATTTCAACCATACTTGGTCAAATAAGCTTATAATTTGTTACTTTTCTTTAGCAGAGGAAAGGGATTCCAAATTCTGAACAGATTACTTATAGGGATTTTGAATATGACCTGTGTCTAATCTATCTGTTCTAGATGCTTCATCCATCAATTTATCCAAACCCTTCATAAGGGGTTTACATACATATCAGACTGTATAGCCTCCTGGAGAAATAGACTGCAAGCATTAGGTGCCCTACGTTTAGAAACAGTGTGTCATCTGTAAGGGGTACTGTCTCTCTATTCTTGATTTGCTAAAACTCTTAACAGTTAATGTAGAACTAGATTCCTGAACAAGCAGTCTGCAAACCTGGATTCCTAGCACAGCTTTTTTTTTTTTAAGATTTATTTGAGACAGAGCAAGAGAGGGAACACAAGCAGGGGAAGTGGGAGAGGGAGAAGCATGCTTCCTGCCGGTTTGAGCAGGGAACCTGATGCGGGGCTCGATCCCAGGACCCCGGGGCCATGACCTGAGCCGAAGACAGACACCTAACGACTGAGCCACCCAGGTGCCCCTTAGCACAGCTTTGCTGCTAACAAGTATCTTGACTTTGCCTTGGCCAGGTCACTTTATGTCTTTGAATCTGAGGTTTCTTGTTTATATAGGGGTTAAGGTTCTTCCAGCTCTAAAATTGTTCAGGGGAATGATGTTATATTTTACTGATCTAGATCTAGCATATACATCTTTCTACCCCCAGGGTCAGTAGAACTCTTCGTTTTATTTCTTTATTTTACAGCTTCTAAAGATGCCTTTTTTGAGATATAGTAATTGAAGTTCCACATCATATTCCTGTTCTAGACCCATACCGCGTTCTGTGAAAGAGTAGGGAAATTCTCTCTGTTTTGTATCTAAAACCACATTTGAGGAGCGCCTGACTGGCTCTGTTGGTAGAAACGTGGCTCTTGATCTTGGGGTCATGAGTTTGAGTCCCACATTAGGCGTGGAGATTACTTTTTAAAAAATTTTAAAAAACCATTTTAAAGAATCAGTCCTAGAAAAAGAAAATTATATTCTCAGTGCTGCAGGAAACATTTAAACCCTTTTGTTTAGTGTCTTAAAATTTTACAGGAATTCATGTGTGAATGTATCTCAGTCTGTTCACAAACCAGAAGTTACTTCTCTTTAAACTATGAGAAAATATACCTAGTTATTAGTTGCTGGAGAAACTAAAGACAGGCAGTTTTTGAAGCATTTTAATCTTTTGCTAATTCAGAGATAGCCAGACACAATTCATGACACATAAAACAAACCTATCAGATCACTATTTCTGCCATCCAAAGCAGTGAAGAGATTTATTTGTCATGGGGCTGGATTAATTGAAGCACAAAGAAGTAAGCTCCGTGCAAAGAGTGAGCTCCTTTCCTTGTTCAGTGCTGTAACGATGACTAGAACAGTGTCTTCCAGTAATAGGCACTCAATAAATATTTTTGAGTGAATAAAGATATGCACTCTATTTCCCAGTTTCCTCTATCGTCAAACTGTAGAAAAGCCTTGGCAATTTGCTGAGCCAAGTATTCCTCTGAAATAAACTCTAGAACTTAACTGGCTTTGAAATACAGAAATAGTTACTAATGCCATTTCCCATTTGCAAATTATTGAGGGTGAGAGCTGGAAAGCCTTTGAGATCATCCATCCTGACCCTTTTGTTTTACTAATGAAGGACCTGATGCTCAAAGCTACTCAGTGCCATCCAGCTAGTGAGCAGCTAACGACAGTTCAAGACCTGATCTAATTCCCAGCTCCAGATATGGAATAAGTATGTGCGAGGGCATCTGCAGCCCATGGTACCATTTTCTGTGGATGTGGAATTACACTGAGGCTAGACAGTGACTTTGCAAAGTGATTTTAAAGTTTAGGAAGTTAAGGCACCCCCTTCACAAAGTCTGCATGCATACCATTGCTCCCTTCGTTCCTTCTCAAAATTAGTGCAGAGGTCGATGCAGGAGTCCGTTTGGGGCAGTATGGGCAGGACCTCCTGAGCTTCCTTCTGTGGAGGCTAGTGGGACCCCAAATCCAGAGACCAAAATTTCAGGTTATATCATACAAGATATGGGAAGTTTGGGATTTAAAGATTGCAGTTATTTAAACAAGATAATACGAGTAAGCTGAAGATGCCGCGCAAATGCAAGGTTTTGTGATGAGTGATCTAGCTGCCCCAGCGTCAGCTTGGATGGGATGAGTGGGCATGGCCTCGGGGAAGAGCGGAATGACCTTCTGGTGACCGAAGCAGTCCTGCAGAGAACGCTTTCCCTTCACCATTCTGCAGGATGTGGCAGCATGAGAGTCCTATCTCCATTCCTTCTTAGAAACCACAAGTTCTTCATTCGTTCAACAAATATTTAATTATTCTCCCTCATGGGCTAGGGTGGTGGCGAATATGTCCCCCAAGTGCACACAGTAATAGTCCAAGCAAAATATGCGTTGTGTTTATTGTGTACCAGGCAGATGTCGAGGTGCTTTCTACAAATTAACTTTTATAAACGTCAGTGAGGTATCTGGCATAGGGCACTGGCTGGCTGTCAGGACCAATACTCAGGAGTTGCAGACTCAGCAAACCTGTTTCCTCTCTTCCACTCCACCCATCCATGCATTGTCTGCCCTGACTTCACCAGACCCCGTGCGCTGAATTCCCAGCCCGGGGTGCCCATCTGGTGCGGCTCCCTCTCCACCACGTGGCAAACTTGTATTCCTCCTTCAGCTTCGGCTCACACTCACTCGTCTCTTTGAGGTCTTTCTTGAACTCCCTCCCCTCCCCTTCCCTCAGGCAATTCCTTTCCCATCTGCTGCCAAGTAACATTGTTTAAAATAACATCCATCATATTTTATTGTAATTTATCTATTTACAAAGTTTATCTTCTCTCTCTTTCTCTCTCTCTGTCCCTAAATGACTGGGAATCCCTCAGATGTATGCTTCATAACTGGTACACAGTAGGCCTGCAGTTAATTTTTGGATGATTGAGTGAAGGGCCCGAGAGGCTAATTTGAAGCAAAGGAGACTTTTTTATTGTTATGTTAATCACCATACATTACATCATTAGTTTTTGCTGTAGTGTTCCACGTTCGTTTGTTTTTTTTTTTCCGTTCATCGTTTGTGCATAACACCCAGTGCTCCCCGCAGAACGTGCCCTCTTTAATACCCATCACCAGGCTAACCCATCCCCCCACCCCCCACCCCCCTCCCCTCTAGAACCCTCAGTTTGTTTTTCAGAGTCCATCGTCTCTCATGGTTCGTCTTCCCCTCCTGCTATCTTCTTCTTCTTCTTTTTTTTTTCTTAACATATATTGCATTATTTGTTTCAGAGGTACAGATCTGTGGAAGCAAAGGAGACTTTTACCCTAATTAGGTTCTGTTTTGGAGATCATGCTTGGATGTGTGAATGTTTCTGTGATGAGCCATTCTATGAGGCCAGAATCACCAGGGCAAATTAAGTTCTTTGACCACCCACAGGCCTTTACAATGACAATTTCTCATCTCAGGAAACAAGTATAGTCACAAACTCAGGGATAGACATCAAGACCGAAAAAATGCGTCTGACCTGGAAATGAGGGTGTGTAACAGTTTGTCTCCTAGGAGCGGAATGATTCAGCATTCCTTTCCTTCCTTTCAGAGCTGAAACCTTGGTGGCCATATGGCAATTTCTGGGTCAGGTTCTTTATTATTTTATTTTTATTTATTAATTAATTTATTTAAGATTTATTTATTTATTTTGAGAGAGAAGGGGGGGTGTGCATCTGCGAGTGGGGGGAGGGGCAGAGGGAGAGAGTCTTCCGAGCAGATTCCCTGCTGAGCGCAGAGCCCAATGTGGGGGGTTCCATCCCAGGACCCATGAGAATATGACCCGAGCTGAAACCAAGAGTCAGATGCCCGACCACCTGAGCCACCCAGGCGCCCCTAACTCAGGTTCTTTAAATTAAGGTGTCTGGGATACTTTTCCTTGGTTGTTTGCAGTAATCAGCTGAGTAAGATTTAAATGTTTGGGTGCGGGGAATCCTAACTGAATTGGAGGAAAAGGTCATATTTCAGCCTTCCAGA